CTCCGCGCCGCCCCAGGCCTCCGCCCGCGCACCTGCAGCCCAGGTGCCCGCGTCCCGGTGCCACCCCGCGGTGCCGGAGCCCCGCGCGCCCTCCCCAGGGTGACGTCGCCGCGGGTCTGGTGGCCACGCGTCCACCCACCCGACTGCAGGCGCGCGGAGGTTCGGGTCGGGGCGTCATTCCCGCGGCTGGAAGAGAGCAGGAGCAGGGGGCTGCGCGACGGGGGACTGCCAGACGCACGGCCCTCTGCGGCACACGACAGGCGCTCCTCCACCCCCAAACCACTTGTGGCACGCGTGGATCCTCCCCGGGTCCGGCCCCTGGAAAATGAGCCCTGTGCGCCCCGGGACCTCGCCTCTCTTGCCCTACGGCGCCGTGACCCCCTCGCACTCTCCATTATCCGTGTCCGGGCAGACTGTGTGGCGGCTTGGCCCCACAGGTCCTGTTCAAAGGGACGCCCCATAATTTTCTGCGCCCTGGAAATATACAGATAAAACCGGAAGACAGAGATCATCTCTACCCTGGGAGAGCTGAGTTCGGACAAACACACGGCTCTGGACTGTCCCCTACCTCGAGTCGCGAAGGCCGAGCGCAGGTTGCGAGGAAGCTGGGCAGAGGCTCAGGTCCCGCGCCGGAAGACCCAGGCCGTCTCCCCGCCGCGCTGCGAGGTGGGTTTTCCCGGGAAAACGCCGAGCACTGAGCGAGGACGCAGCCAGTGGGAAGTTACAATTATGTTCTTAGGACCGCGGTTCAAACGCCTTCTAATGCCCCCTTCACTGCGCCCTCGTAAGCTGGTTCATTCCTGTAACAGTCTACTGAGCCTGGATCCCTGGTGTCTCCGCGGAGGGAGCAACGTTTGGACTTCATAAAGAGTTTTCTGGACTTCTCGCGGTGACCAGGGTTTTATTCCAGCTTCTTCCGAGCCATCCCCGGGAGGAGAGCAGGGCGAGAGGCCGGCACCCCGCCTGCCCACAGCACCCGACCCGACGCGGCGAATCCCGAGCTGGCCCCTGCCAGAGAGATTCAGCCTCGGGGAGAAGGAGCGCTGCGCTAGCCGAGGATGGCCCCTCTCCAGCGGCCTGCACAGACTCGTTGCCCTTTGGGTCCTCCGCAAGAAATCTGTTTTATTCCTGGCTCGGAATGAGGCTGCACCGCGGAGCTTACCGGCTCCAGAGCGGAGAGTTGTTTTTTGCAGGGAAGTTCCTGGGCTCTGCTCCAAAGCTGCCCTGGGATGTTTTGGTTGGTTTGACGGAAAGCTGCGGCGTCTCCACCCTGGTTCCACACAGGCAGCCCCCTGGTGGCCACTGGGGAAAGCCAGGCGCAGGTGAGGCAGGGTGCTGGGGAGCTAGGCCCAAGGCCTCCAGGGAGCCAGGAGCCTCCCTACAGAGGAAAGCCGGACCGAGGATGCAAAGTCTTCTTCACAAGGCCCATGACGTCCCCGGAGCCCACGGGACGTTTTACTTTTTCTCCTGACTATAACTCGGAGCTATTCCCCGCCCCTCCAAGTCTTGTTTAAAGGAGACATACGGAACGTGAACTCTAACCTAAAAGTGGTCGCTTCCCTTTGTTCGGAGAGCTTTGTCTTTCTGATCTCATTTTTCCTGGAAACTTCTGAAATAAAGAGTCAATTAAAGTATTAAGTCACGTGACAGTGTAGCAGCGTTATGTAACTACTGAAACAGGGGAGCTGGTAGGATTCCTTCTGAACAGGCCCTGGGAGAGCGGTGTCTGGCTGAAGGGTTATCAGCAGTCTGTTCTTACACAAGGGATTCACCAGGGAGTGTCATGGGGAGGGTCTCTGAGAAGGCAGAAGACACTAACCTGGGAGCACAGGGTCCGGGAGTCCCAGCCTGGAACCTATGATTCCGGTCCACCCTCACCATCCTATTGACCCGGACTTACAAATTTCAGGCTGATGACTCCAGTCAAGGAAACAACCCATTCTCTGGTTTCTGCATCCGCTCCTGGCAAGGAAGTACATGAAACACAGGGCCCAAGGGCAGTGGGATTAGGTCAAAGTGTAGCCAGAGCTGCAAACAGTTTGAACACATCTCTATTTAACACGGGGAGATATGGTTAATTATGAACGGTTATTGTATTCATGTTGAATTTTAAAATGTTACGTTGAAATACTTTCTCCTAATCCCACATTTGTGGACACCAGCTCGATGTGATGACTTGTGTGCCTACACCTTGCTCCTGCCCTACCGTGTCTCTGATGTTGCCAGAGTCCAGTTAGAGAAGTAAACCCAAGTGAGAATTTGCTAGATATCAAAGATGATGAATTTGGTAAGGAATTGCCCCTTGGAGTCAGACGTGTGCGGGGCGGGCAGGGGCAACCTCTAAAAACTCACGGGGGTTGGGGGGGGGGAGTCTTGAAGCTGTTCACGAACTTCCAACCACATTTTCTGATGGAGTGTGGAGACTCGAAGAATACCATTCTGGGAGCAAGGATTATTAAATGATTTACGTAGTGGCTCCCTCTGAAACTGGCCCTGCAGCCACTGTGACTCACTTTGAACTCTGCAGAGTCCAAATCTCTGAACTCACTGTTCGTTGCTAAAACTTACTTTTGCTATGAAGGCCCCAGGCATTCTGGCCTGGATGGGAAGGTAGTCTACGCCCAGCCTTTCAGGACAGACAGACTTTCAACGGAGATGACAGTTTCAAAATTGAAGAGCAGAAGTCCAATGAGAAAGGTAGAGAGTCATCCTTTAGTACCCCTAGGGTGCTGTTGCAGAGTTCCTCCACAGCTATTTGGGTCTGTGGATGCCAAATCCATATGCAAAATGGTATAGTATTTATATAACCTGCACTTACCTTCCTCATCCTTCATTTCACCTCTAGATTAAAATGCTGTGTCAACAGTATTATACTGCATTAAAGGATTAATGTCAAGAAAGGAAGATCTGGGCATGTTCAGGACACAGGCACATTTTTCAAGTCTCTTCACCTGGAGGTTGATTGGCTCCAGAGACGCAGAACTTTGTGGGGAGGCGGCGGGCTGCATATATTGCCAGGTGTGAGAATGCTGGGAGGGTAGAACAGGAGAGGACGGACTCAGAAGGGGATTCAGGAGAGACTGGTCTCAGCTGGGTGAGCTGCTGCAGGAAGTCAGAAGGAGGGAAAGAGAATTGCTGTGTTCTCTGCAAGGCCCAGTACAAAATGAAAACAGGAAAAATTGTCACAGTGGTATGGAAGTCTGGACTTATGACACCCTAGTTTGTTATTATTCTCAATGAATAAGAGAAATGTTTTAAACTATTAGCACATATTTTACAATTCATCTTTCTATTTTGCACTGTCATTTTGAATGCAATTCTAAGAATATTTAACTCATATGCAAAATTCCTTTGTCTGTATTTTGGAGTTCATGTATGTGCGTGTGCTTTGTCCTTACCAGAACAGTGGAAACACAGAACAAAGCAGGCTCTATTTCACTTCTTGATACGTGCCCATTCTGTGTGCTAACACCCGACTTCTGGCGTGGTGCTGTGTGACAGAGAGAGACCCTGAAGTCCCTTTCCATCCGTGTCTTAATTTTCAATATAGTGATTGATGAATATTGGGAAGCTCCACCCAGTAAGAAAGGACACCACAGCTTCCTTGGTTGTCGCTTGTTTGGAGTTTAAAGCCAGTTCTGGTTGGAATGGAGATCGTGGCACGTTGGGTTGTCACGGGCTCTACTCCTTCAGCTGGAGCTGGAGCATGCTTACCTCCAAGTCCCCTTGGATTTGCTAAGTCCCATACACTGTGGGTCCTCGGGGACATCATGGCACATCAACAATTTTAGATTTGAATAGAGCAATGAAAATGGTACTGGTCATGCATGTTGTGTGTATTTCCTGTTATGTGCACGTGGTCTACTGCCCTTCAGACTTTTCTCATAAGACACAAGTTCAAAGATGAAATTATTAGTAATGTCAATTTGGTAGTAACAGAGTACTGGGCTAAGGCAGCCTCAGAGACCCAGGGTCCTTCTGAGCCTTGAGCCTTTTGTTGCTGTGCAGATCACAGGCTGGTGAAGCTGGCCCTGGGGGAAGGCCTTGACCCTTTATTGCGGTAGAAGCAGGGAACAAATTGCAGGTACGGCAGACACTGCATGTGGCTGATTATAGAACGGAGTGTGTAACGTAGCTAATGTTTATTAAATGTTCTGTTCTGGGCATTGTTCTAAGTACTTTTCAGGTCTTTTAAAGTTTGCAGGGGAACTCTGAAACAATATCAGGCGGTCCTGTTTTCAGACGGAGAAGCTAAAACACGGAGACAAAATAATGTACTGATACTCAGCCCGGCACCTGGAGCAGAGTGTGTGCACTGGACTGGCCCTTCTCCTTGGAGGCAAGGGAACTGTGGGGCAGGCACCTGGGCTAGAAAGTGGGACTCACAAAACGTGTCCGCAGCCCCTGTGCCTGTAGCAATCAGAAGAGGTAAAAGAAGAAAACACAACAAAGGACACAAACTCCCCAGTCAAGGGCTTTCCAGTTGGAGGTAGAAGACCCTGAGGCCACTGGGCCTTTAGGAAGAAGCCGCGAGCTCCCCGGGCCTCTGGGAAGAAGCCGCGAGCTCCCGGGCCTCTGGGAAGAAGCCATGAGCTCCTGGCCTTCGGTCGCCCTGTGGAGAACTGGTATTTGCCAACAAACTATTCCAGCGATTGGATAACGAGCTTCTTTTGGGTCAAGTCACTGAAACATGAAGGTTTATTGGTTGCATTTGCAGTGGTGGGTGCTGTTACCTTAATATACCTGTCACCAGGCCAAACTCCATTGCAGTATAAACTGTCTTTTCTCAGATAGAGCGAAAATACAGAAACAGATCTGAATGTTAACATAGATGTGGAGAAAGCAAACAAGCTCCAAAGAGGTTCAGAAACAAGGTTTATAATTATTAGAGCTCTACCACAGTAAAACAGAATTTTACCACAGTAAAATGAATCCTAGTATTCAGTTTAATGAGTTATTGTATTTATATTTTTTATTTTTATTTTATGTGTCAGTATTGCCTGCCTGTGTGTAAGTGCACCTGTGTCATGTAATGCTCTTTGAGGTCTGAAGAGGGCCTCAGATCCCCTGGAACTGGAGTGAGGGACGGTTGTTAGCTGCCATTGAACCCAGGTCCTCTGTAAGAGCAGCCATTCCTCTTAACCACTGAGCCATCCCTCCAGTGCCAGAGTTTTTGAATTTTTATTCCATAGTGTAATCACCAACCAGAAGAAGTTAGAAAATATTCTCAGCAACACAGAAACTATCTTTCCTCTGTCAACCATGGCCCCTTCAGGAGGTGAACATTCCTGGTGAACATTCCTTGATTACCTTTGCCAGATGTTGAACTTTATGTGAAGATCATCACAAGGTGTGTTCCTTCTTGAAACTGCTTTCTTTCACTTAATATGATAATTTTGAAATAAATTCTTTTTTTCTTGGTTAAAAAATTGTACTTTAAATTTCTATCATATAAAGATACCACAATTTGTTTATTCAGTCTCCAATTGATGATCCTTTGAGGTTTTCCATCCTGGGACTATTACCAAAAAGTCAGTTGTGAACATTCTTGAATAACTGTGTGGATGCACGTACTCCTATCAACCTGGGCCCAGGCTTAGGACTGGAATTTCCAAATGTCAAGTCTAAATTGAGTAAACGGCTGGTGATGAATTGTAGCAGTTTTATCAGTGATGCCCTCCGAGGTCCCAGCATGATTTCTAGCAACTAGAGGACATTCCACTCCCACCTGCTGGCTCATTTTTTTCTTACACTTATCACAAATAAAATATTCAAAGCCACATGGAATCCAACTACAACATTGTCTGGTATTTTAGATATGAAGTCCTTCAAACAATGGCTATTCAAAACTGGTATTGCCCTAGCCAGCCATTCGTTACAGTCCTGTTTACCACAACAGTGAACCCCCTCACATGCTAAAGGCCCAAGCAAAATGAAGGTGCAGAGATGGGCTGTCAACAGTCCGCTATGGAGTGGGGTCTCAGGAGGCCCCACCCCTCCCTGCGGAACAATTGGCAGTCATCATGATGAGTTGTCACTGGCACGATTTCCTGGCTCTGGAGAACAACGCCCCAACCCATGCTTATGCAGGAAACCCTAATTAAACCCAGTGCATGTGGCAGTTTGAATGAACGTCCCTCATAGGCCCCAAGTATTTGAACGCTGGTCCCCAGTCGGTGGCGCTGTTTGGGGAGGTCATGAACCTCTAGGACGCGTGGCCCCGCTGGAGGAAGCACGTCACTGGGGGAGGGGTGGAGAGTTCATAGCCTTGGCCCACTTCTGTTTTTTCTCTACTTCCTGTGCCTGTTTGAAGATGTAAGTGCTCAGCTTTCTCGTGCAGCTGCCTCTGGAAGCATAAGTCTAATAAACTCTTCCTTCTATAAGTTGCCGTGGTCATGGTGTTTTTATCACAGCAACAAAAGACATGGAAGTGTTTGGGAAGCCGGGGTTCAGAGGCAGTGCAGGGGAGTGGGGGGGATGGGGTAAAACGGACAGAACACGTGATGTATGTGTATTACATTGTCAGAAAAACAGTTTTAGAAAGAAGGGACCTGCTGAATCACAGTGCGTTCACAAAAAGGGTGGATGAGAGAAAAGGTGAGACCATCAAAACATTTTTGAGTTAGAAGAGCTAGTGGCCGACAGCCTCTCAAAACACCTTGTCAACTTGATTGCCTTCGTAGCTGTTTCTGGGCATCTGCTTGACTGGGTTTTGTTCCCGAGAGTGCAGTGTTGGAAGCTTAGTCCCCAAAGCTTTTATATCCATGGTGGATCCTTGAAGGGGGCCCTCTTGGCAGCTATCAACTCACTGGGGGCACTGTCTTCAGAGGGAGTCAATTTTGGTAGGATCCTGGGCTTGTTTTCCCAAGTCCAAGTTGTTATAAAAGGCTAAGGCTGTGCCCCAACTCCTATACTCGCTGACTTCCATTTCCCTGTGTGATTTCTCTCTCTTTCTCTCTCCCATTTATCCCACCATGATGCCATCAGAACTCATCTGACAAACCAAAGGGGCCTCACCATAGGCTGAGTCAATAGAGTTGCCTAACCTTGACTTTCACTTCCAAAAATCTGAGCTAAACAATCTTCTTTTTTGTGCAAGTTACTCAGCCTGGAGCATTTTGCTACAGTGATGAGAAACAGACTAACAAAACCAAGTACAAAATTGGGAAATAATTTTAGTGTTTTGGGATAGGGCCTCCCTGTAGCCCCAGCTGGCCTGAAACACTACGTAGACCAGGCTGGCCTCAATCTCACAG